CCCTGGAGTGTTCCTTTGATTCTTCCATGCATGTTTGAGGAATCCTTGAATCTCCTATGGCAACCATTCATGGTGTCTAAACGCTTGCTAAAACAAGCGTTTAGGCCTATTTCCACAAAGTTCCTCATTGGCAAAGCTGCAGTCTCCAGCCGAGTTTATGCCCCACAGAGCAGCCCTTTCCCATTACACCCCCGCCGCGCCCCCACTCAGTTCCCCCAGACTAGTGGCAGCAGCAATAACCAAACACTTGATGGAACTGCTGGTCTGTTGAGCTCATCACTATTTCTCAATCAAACACCAATGAAAGTTGTTAAAGCCTTAATGGAGGAACATTATTGTGATTAAGTGCTAAGTGTAGGAAAGAGCAGGAGCTTCTTAAAATGACAGAGGTTCAGTTTCAGTTAGGTTTCATATACAGCCTTTTTGGTAACACTTTATTTGAAGGGGTTGAATAAGACTGACATGACACTCATAAACACCTGTCATGAACATGAATAAGCCTTCATGAATATTTATGACTGTTGTCATAAAGCATCATTCGGTAAATCATGACACTTTTAATACAAAGTTGACATTGAAAAAGTCTTTGTTATGACAACTTGACATTAATCTAGGCAAAAATGTCTTCATTATGACAACATGACATTACCCAAGACAACATTGTTGTCATTACAACTTGACATTAAGCAAGATATTATAACTTGTCATGAATGTCATAACAGGTGAATTTTAAAATGTTGTCTTTATAAGACATCATTAACAAGTCACTTGTTGTTACACATACCTTTTGCTGTCATGAGACCATTATAATTGTGACATTATCCTCCTCTGTTAAAGTGTATCACAGTAAACTAGTAATAAAGATGTCATTGAGTGTCATTAATCTATCGCTTTAATGACTCAAGTAAGTGTAGTCCATTTTACTTGAGGTAACTGGAAATGTTCATGACTTGTTAAAGCTGTCTTATAAGGATATAAGCCAATAAATTCACCTGTTATTACATTCATGACAAGTTATAATTTCTTGCTTAATGTCAAGTTGTCATGACAACAACGTTGTCTTCGGTAATGTCAAGTTGTCATAACAGACATTTTCAGTAATGTCATTATTTACCAAATGACACTTTATGACGACAGTCATAAATATTAATGAAGACTTATTGATGTTCATGACAGGTGTTATGTCATGTTTATGACAGTGTCATGTCAGTCTTATTCACCCCCCTTCAAATAAAGTGTTACTGCATTGGTAATAACAACTGAAAATCATGCTTACTTGATTGTGCTAATAGCACTTGGCTGGAAAATACATAATACTGTCCCTTTAAATGAGTGCTTATGGATGAGTTAGCCATGAGTTAACTTGTTGACAGTCACAATAAAAATGGTGATGAATGTCAAACAAAACAGACCAGCCGGGATTAAATCTTCTTTAAGCCGCGGCGGGTATAAGTAATGAGAGGACATTTATTTTGAAAGCCCAAGCAGGAGGTGGTTGTGTCTGACCTGGCTCCGCAGCTCTCTCCTCAGTGAAGAGTAGTTTTGGAAGAGTCGACTCCGAACAGCCGAAGCTGCTAACAGCTTTTAGCTTCAGAGAACATCTGGAGGATCGAACAAGGAGAAAAACCGCGGTCAAAAACTCTGGATTGCTCTTTGAAAGCAAGGAAAACCGGTGCTGGTGGAAATAAAGCCACGCCGAAACGCCAGTAAGGATCTCACATTTCATCCGTGTAGGTGGTTTCATCAGCGGCTGTCGCGCTGTTGATAAAGCAGTCCTAAAACAGGTTGATAGCTGGGATTCCCAGGGGAAATCCATCGAAGCAGAACATCTGGTGAGGGATCTTCATACACACCGAGGCCGGACGGAGAGCCTGGTCGCTCGGATGCTCCTCTTGGACGGCTGATCTTCCACCATGGAGTCGCTTCTGAGCTCCACCATGGGAGGAAGCAGCAGCAGGTAATCAACTGGAACACGCTGAACTAGATAATAGTGGCGGGATCAGATCATCTATGTTTGGTGGAATAAAGCTGCTCTGGTTGCTATGGCTGCCCAAACCAGCCTCCCCAGCTGGATGGAGGTGAATTGACAGCAGGCCTGGTCTTCCAGGGTCAGCTCGGCTCAGCTCACACACTGAGACTGTGGAGTGGGTCTGCCTCCCCCCAATCTCTAAAAACACTTTCTTTTTTTTTTTAAGTCAACACAGAACCATTTTATTGATAAAACACAGAAGCTGCTTCTGGCCAACTCTAGAGTGAATTATTCTAATATTCCCAAATGAATATTAACATCATATAACATCAAATGATGTTAAATGTGACATAACCATAGGCATAAATCCTGGGGGAGGGAGTCCGGAACCCCCCAATCCTGGAAAAGTCTAGAATTGTCCCCCCCAAAGAAATCATGAAAGAAACCCTTGTATTTAAACAGTATCAATATAAGAAAGGTAATAGAAACAAAGAACAAAGTAAATCTACCATTCATCTAAGAAAAAAATAAGAATTAATTTTTAGGTTCCCCCCCACTATTTTTAGAACAATGGTTCTAACAATAGTTTTGGAACCAAAGTGTAGGAGGAGGAACAGCAGCACTGCTGAATGACACAGGCTCCATTAGAGCCGGTGAAGTGAGGAGCTAACTGTTAGCTGTGGCTCTGCAGCACTAACAAGAAACCCTTTCAGTAAGTAAATACTTAAAGCAAAAGATATGTAACACATTTTATTTACTTTCACTGCTCAATAGGAAGAAACACATTGACAATAAAACAGTCCACAGTTCGTTATTTCATTACTTTGGCTGAGTCATGATAAACTGCCACCTTATGCCTTGGAAATAAAAACTAGCTAAACTGCTACATTGTTTTCATAGATCTGGCTCCTTTTTCTGTCGAAGGTAGCCAATATTTCAATTATATTTAGCTCTCTTACTTTAATAAGAGTTTAAAACTGGAGGGGCTGAGTGTTACCACTAGCCAACAGCAGAGGGGCTATTGCAGCTGGCAGTCAAGCAAAATAAAGTATGCCTTTATTTCTTATCATCTTCAACGTAGAGCTTTTAAAACCCAAAATAAAATCTGAATACTTTTATAGAAAACTCTGGTGCTGACCTTTAAGTTTAAGTTATGATACTTCCCAAATATTCAATTCCTACATATTTATAGGTTTTCATCCATCCAGGACATGATCCCCTCCCCCACCCCACCCCCCAAAATAAATAAATAAAAGTTTAAAGCAACTCAAGTCATAATTTAAATAACACATGATGA